AGGGTATTTCCTTTCTTTGATTATTGATGATTGTCTATGATAAGGGTTGTCCTTTCGGTTAGGGTATTTCCTTTCTTTGATTATTGATGATTGTCTATGATAAGGGTTGTCCTTTCTGTAAGGGTATTCCTTTCTTTGATTATTGTCTTCGGCAAGGGTTGTACTTTCGGTTCGGAAATTCCTTTCTTTGATGATTGTCTATGGCAAGGGTTGTCCTTTCGGTTAGGGTATTCCTTTCTTTGAGGATTGTCTTCGGCAAGGGCTGTACTTTCGGTTCGGATATTCCTTTCTTTGATTACTGTCTTCGGCAAGGGTTGTCCTTTCTGTAAGGGTATTCCTTTCTTTGATTATTGTCTTCGGCAAGGGTTGTATTTTCGGTTATGAAATTCCTTTCTTTGATGATTGTCTATGGCAAGGGTTGTCCTTTCGGTTAGGGTATTTCCTTTCTTTGATTATTGATGATTGTCTATGATAAGGGTTGTACTTTCGGTTAGGGTATTCCTTTCTTTGATGATTGTCTATGATAAGGGTTGTCCTTTCTGTAAGGGTATTCCTTTCTTTGATGATTGTCTATGACAAGGGTTGTACTTTCGTTTAGCGATGGCTGTCCTTCGGTAACGGTTACCTTTTTGGTAAGTGTTGTCTTTTCGCTTTGAAGGTTTCTTTCGGTTAGCGTTGTTCCTCAGCTTTCTGTTTGTTGATAACAGTCCATCAATTTCTTCTTTAATAGCTAAATGAGGCTTTCAGTTTCCCGTTTCATTTGCCCATGAAAGGTAAAATTAGTCTCTGCTCCTAATTATGGGCAGCCGAAGAGACCGAAACTGCAATTTGATACCCTCTGTGATTAGTTCTTACCAGTCCAAGGAAATACTCGCTTCTTCTGGTTTTGATCGCCTAATACGTACCTCGAATGTGAACTCTGGATGACCAACACGTTCTCCCATGAACGAGAACGAGAAGTTGATGAAGGCAAGGAGAGATATGAAGGCGATGAGATTCACGACGACGTAGGAGACCAGTTTAATGGACGCTACTGCTCCAGCCGAGGCCGCTTCCATCAAGTTCAGCTCCTTTCTGTAAAAACAAACTAACAATGATACACCGATAGCAAAAACGTGAATTCTGAAACGCCATAACTGGATTTTTTTCATTGTAGTAGATACACATAACCTTTTCATGCTTGTTTATGAAAAATCAAATATTCAACATAAAATATTTGCCATGGAACATAATAATACAGAGGGATGACTGCCTACCCGACTTCTGTGAGAACAACATCTCTGTCCTTGTCACTGGCCAGTTTGGTCTCTGGCCATCCGAGTTTGGCCACGGCGAGGGCAGCGGGAGCTGACATGAACGAAGCCGAGATCACGTGTTCAGGCGGAACCTGTAAGCATTCAAAACCTATCATGTTACGTGATAGACATCTTCGCCGCAAATTGAGGCGATACTCATTTAATTATTTTTACGGTATTGATATATATCTATATATTTAATTTATTTGATTTAGAAAAATTTCCCTTTGTAAAATACTGTATATGTACATCCTATTAAGTGTAATATATCCTGTGCCATTCGACTCCATTGCGGTGCAAATGGAGAGTGAGAGTTATCGTAGACAAACTAGACATAACAAAAAGACAGGCAGAACGCGGATGTAGACAAAAACGTGACAGACGGACAGACGGACACTTAACAGACGGGCAGACACGTAACAGACGTTAAGAAAGACACACAACAGATATACCGCCAGATATGCAACAGCAGTACAAGAGTACAACAACTATCGTAGGGAGGAATGTAACCACTCTACAACATAGACGTTGATCTAAAACAGCTTCACGAGGAATTCTAGCTCATCTATGACGTTCACCCCGAACTCGATGTAGGCGGCGATGACTGTTCCCGCCACTGTTGCGAACCCTGACGTCATCACGGCGTTGAGCTCAGACAATGTGAGATCACGGAGGAACGGCTTTAAAGCAATCGAGGACTCCACCTAACACAAAAGAGATAATATATCACAGTCAAAATTACAGCAGAGCTTGTATCCCAAAGACAAAACGTTATACTGTTACAATACAAAAGCGTAGATGAACTCTTAATTCTGTGTAGGAACATCGAATGCTAGCACGGACATGTGAAGTTCACAAAGGGGCTACCCTTCTCTCTTTGTGATTTGATCTAACTAAAATATTGAATATTTCTTCCAACTAAAGCTTAAGGCAATATCATATTTCGTTTTTATCAAAACAAATGGAATAACATAGAAACGCCAATGACAGGAACATTTTAACGACGCTTGGTTAAAATCGGGTAGAGTTCGGAATATTTCAAAATGTCTCCGCTAAACAGAGGACACGATACACATTTTTTATTTCAAATCAAGCAAAAGAACTGTACTCGTTCAAAACGATCGGCATTATTCTTGTTTAGCCTTGTTGAAGTTGAGAAGTTAAAAGGGCACCTTCGTAAAAGACAACATTTAGATAACGCTATGCTGTTCCATGAATATCGAGCTGACGTGGCAGAAACTTTGATACTGGTGTAATATGGAAACGTGAAGTCCATGCTATTATGAACTGTGGTTCAGTTCACCATTACAGTGATATGAACCGCTTAATGGTGAAATGAAGGCTTCCACTTATTTGTCTGATCAACATTTCTTCGGTTTTTAGTTTACCTCAGTTCGTTGTTCTATAATGTGAATAACCAAGGCTATGTCTGGTGGAGATGGCCTCTGTTATCAGTACAGCTCTACCTGCTGCTGATTTGTCTGAGACTGCTTTAACCTCTGGCCATTTTGTTAAGTAATCTGTAAGCACAGCTACATATCTGTTGCGATTCACGGGCTCATGCAATGGGCCACTAAGTCTATGCCTATCATAGCAAATGACTCGTCTTTCATTTGAATTCGATGAAGTGTCGGAAATATTATGATACATTAAGATCACTAAAATTCCTCAAAGACATCAGAACATAAATATACGTATTGAACGACATGTTTGTTCGGTGTTCACGTAGTTATGAATGCTAGTCGGTAGCATACATATTGCCTACCATCATGAACCTCAGAAACTGTCGTTCAACGCTCAAAAGAATTAAATGGAACTTGTGGGGATTCATGCAAGACACATTGGTTATTTAAATATATATCTCCGTCCATGTTCTCACCTGTCCAATGAAGATATGGGCCGCCGTGGCGAAGGATTCGATGGCTGTGGTCTTCATTGTGTACTGGAACAGTTTGGCCAGTCCCTTAATAATGAACTGCATTACTCCCCAGTAGTACAAGATAGACACCACGGCACTGAAGTACACCACCACCGGCAGAATCTGTGCAGACAGAAATGTAAAAGGTACTGGAATAGTGGATACAAAAAGTGACGGGCGTTATTTACACAACAGGCTGCAGGTCTGTGGACACATGAAATGGCGTACGTTTTTACGACTTAGTGGAATGGTGAAAACAGAAAGTGACGGACATTATTTGTACAACTTAGTGACAGGAATATAACGGACGTTATTTGATCTATGGACACAAAAACGTGAAAGACGTTTTTGCACAACTTAGTGGCAGGATTTGTGAAGACAGAAAGATGGAAAAATAATGGATGTACTATTATATAGTACATTCATACCTTGAATGCAACGACGTGCATCGTGTAGTTTTTTTCGCCAAATATAAACTTGGATCCTTCGTCTGTGAAGCTGAGAAAGCCAGCCATACCATCGCCAACAAATTTGCATATCTCATACCCTGGTTTCCACCTCAGTATCATTAGACCCCAAACAAACTGTAGTATTAGTCCCCACAAAACCGGCGTCCAGCACACCTGGAACGGAAGTGAAGTTATAATCACCGGAAACAGAAAGAAAACAGATGGTTACATATATCATGCTTAGAATATCGTTAAATGGATAACAGTAACATTATTGTCGTCTCCGACCATTGTCTTTTAGTTGCTCTATTACCTTTGTCCTTTGATCGATGCCCTATCATTGTTCGTATTATATTTAATATTGATATTTGTCGACAGTCTTCCGACATTTTTCGTAAGTCAGTCTTCCATTTACCAAATAAAGTTTGTTGACTTGTACATCATGTCGTCACAACGACGAAGGATTCTCGTAATTTCAACATGAAGAAAGCTAGATACGGTTGTAGCCGCCAAGTTTTACTAACCTTGGAGGGAGCTTTGGATGTGATGAAGACGATGAAGACCAACAAACACAGACCGCCCAGAGAGACCAGCCTCTCGGTGTCGGCTCGGAGGTCGATAGCAAGGAATATGATTATTGCCAGGAAAACAAGGATAGTCACACACCTGAAACAAGGATAGCAACCAATCTAAAACAACAATGGTCAGACATCTAAAACCAGGATATATGTAGCTACAGATTTTGAAAAAACAATGATCAGACATATGACACAAGGATACATGTAGCTACAAATCTAAAACAACAATGGTCAGACATCTGAAACAAGGATACATGTAGCTACAAACCTAAAACATGAATAGTCAGACATCAGAAACAAGGATACATGTAGCTACAAATCTAAAACAACAATGGTCAGACATCTGAAACAAGGATACATGTAGCTACAAACCTAAAACAACGATGGTCAGACATCAGAAACAAGGATACATGTAGATACAAATCTAAAAAAAGAATGGTCAGACATCAGAAACAAGGATACATGTAGCTACAAACCTAAAACATGAATAGTCAGACATCAGAAACAAGGATACATGTAGCTACAAATCTAAAACAACAATGGTCAGACATCTGAAACAAGGATACATGTAGCTACAAATCTAAAAGAAGAATGGTCAGACATCAGAAACAAGGAGACATGTAGCTACAAATCTAAAACATGAATAGTCAGACATCAGGAACAAGTATACATGTAGCTACAAATCTAAAACATAAATAGTCAGACATCAGGAACAAGGATAGATGTAGCTACAAACCTAAAACATGAATAGTCAGACATCATGAACAAGGATACTTGTAGCTACAAACCTAAAACAACAATGGTCAGACATCAGGAAAAAGGATACTTGTAGCTACAAATCTAAAACAACAATGGTCAGACAGCAGGAACAAGGATACTTGTAGCTACAAATATAAAACGACAATGGTTAGACATCAGGAACAAGGATACATGTAGATACAAATCTAAAAAAAGAATGGTCAGACATCAGAAACAAGGAGACACGTAGCTACAAATCTAAAACATGAATGGTCAGACATCAGGAACAAGGATACATGCAGATACAAATCTAAAACAACAATGGTCAGACAGCAGGAACAAGGATACTTGTAGCTACAAACCTAAAACAACAATGGTCAGACATCAGAAACAAGGATACAGGTAGATACAAATCTAAAACAACAATGGTCAGACAGCAGGAACAAGGATACTTGTAGCTACAAATCTAAAACGACAATGGTTAGACATCAGGAACAAGGATACATGTAGCTACGAATCTAAAACATCAATGGTCAGACATCTGGAACAAGGATACTTGTAGCTACAAACCTAAAACAACAATGGTCAGACATCAGGAACAAGGATACTTGTAGCTACAAATCTAAAACGACAATGGTTAGACATCAGGAACAAGGATACATGTAGATACAAATCTAAAACAACAATGGTCAGACATCAGGAACAAGGAAACATGTAGCTACAAATCTAAAACATGAATAGTCAGACATCAGGAACAAGGATACATGTAGCTACAAACCTAAAACATGAATAGTCAGACATCTGAAACAAGGATACATGTAGCTACAAATCTAAAACAACAAGGGTCAGACATCAGGAACAAGGATACATGAAGATACAAATCTAAAACAACAATGGTCAGACATAAGGAACAAGGATACATGTAGCTCCAAATCTAAAACATAAATAGACAGACATCTGGAACAAGGATACATGTAGCTCCAAATCTAAAACATAAATAGTCAGCCATCAGAAACAAGGATACATGTTGATACAAATCTAAAACAACAAGGGTCAGACATCAGGAACAAGGATACATGTAGATACAAATCTAAAACAACAATGGTCAGACATCAGGAACCAGGATACTTGTAGCTACAAATCTAAAACATAAATAGTCAGACATCTGGAACAAGGATGCATGTAGATACAAATCTAAACAGAAACTGTCAGACATCTTGAGGAAAAGTAGCAACATAGTCTGAAATAAGATTTGTACTTCAGCTTTTCATCATTTTAAACGGGCTACAATTAATCTGTTAACAAGGCAACTGATCTATTTAAAGTCTGTGTGACTCATTGATGATATGAATTTTAGTAGGAGGTTGAAGACATATATTCTACCAACTGAGCTTGGTTAGCAGAAATGCTATTGCTCAATTGCGCTACAGTCTAATATCAAAGGGAGTGTACTAAAAAATACTTTTATAACCCTGCTTTAATCACTTCTGAAACAAGGGTGCAAAGTGTACGCAGCGTATTGTTTTTGATATATTGATCCATCGACCTTCTAATATATCCACCATAACAGTCAGGCGTATGTGTACGTGTTAACTGTCTTTAAGTGTCGCTGTTCCGTATAAGGCGTGATTATCAATGAGATATCACGTATATATGTAACTGGTCTCGTCTGAACCTTATAAATATTCATTGTTGGGTACTGGTCACTTTAAGGGTCCCCGCATCACTGCCAAAAACTGTAACTATGTATAGGAAACTGTTTCGCTATGAACACAGCATTGATAATCCATTTCTGAAAAGAAAACTATACTGTGCGGGATTTTATGATGATATAAAGATGAAATGAGTGTAAATAGCGTGAGAGATTTGAACCCTGGACATTAGGTTGTCATACTTTCACCCTAACCAACTGAGCTCTTTACGCCTCTGTGCACAGGTACCGAAGGCACAATCATCAGAATTGATGGAACCTCCTTAAAGATAATAATAATGAGAATAAGCTACTAGGTTAGCGAAAGTGCTTTTAAACCAAAATTAAGGGGAGGCTACTGTATACACGAAAAACCACAGTGGAACTCTCTAGTATTTTGCCTGCAGTGAGCAGAGCAGTTCAATCTGATATTCATGTCACAGTCAACACACCTATTTCTTATATTTCATTGTGCATTTCATATTTTACTTCAGTTTTATTTCCTACAAACTATTTCATTTGAATTTGACTAACGAAACAACTCCAGTCTGAATACTGGTGGAACAACCTTAACACAATTAAACTATCGAGGAAAACAAACATTTCTTATTAATATCTGAACAACTCTTGTCCAATTTACCATCGGACTAACCCCCACTCGATTTACCTTCGGAAAATCCTCCAAATCTTTGTCTTTATTCTACAGCGTTTCCTGGCAAGTATTCGGAACCTGATGGGTTTGGCGATGAACTTGGCGATGTCCTGGAGACGTATGAAGCGATGAAGGACAAAGAGTACAACCAGAGTGGCGTCGACGACGGACAAGAACGCTGACGATGGGTCGTAGATGATAGCGTAGACGACATACACGACGTAACCAGCCGTAGACGTCAGATAAAGCAGATCGATGAATCGGTGCCATGTCCATTTCTTGCAGTTGCTCAGTGAATCCGATGTTGAGTCGAACAACGTGCCAAATGTGTCAGAAGCCTCCACAACCCTTGGCGGCGCACAAGGAGGTCGGCGAGTACGTCGTCCGTCTCCTGGCCCAGTACTGTTTACATGGTCATTGACCAGCGGTTCTGTAGTGTCTTCGGTCAAGGTTTGATCTCCACGGACACCCATCACTTACACACACGCGTAGTAAAAAGAAACACAAGTTCTGTCGTGAATAACTGTTGAAGGTATCAGCCAGACAGATAGTATCAGCGATCTATAAGCTGGGGAGCACAACAAGATATTTACAATCCGTTAAGACACCTTAAGCTAGTGAGTAAGATAGTTTACCTGTAAAACTAACGGAAATCTGATACAAAATAAATCCACCGTGTCCAAAACTTAGATAACCTGACCTGGCTGACCACTGACGTTGATAACGTCTGCTTTTCAATGAAGCTTGGCCTCGTACTGTATTACGATCATTGACCTATAAAATAAAGTTGTCCTTTTCAAAGATTATCAACAGTTGGTACACAAGTCTGGTTACTAGCGTTGTGGTGGTCATTCCGGTATGAATACCCTTCCAATGAGTATCACTAGCGCTGTGGTGGTCACTCCGGTGTAAATACCCTTTCAATGAGTATCACTAGCGTTGTGGTGGTCACTCCGGTATAAATAACCTTTCAATGAGTATCACTAGCACTGTGGTGGTCACTCCGGTATGAATAGCCTTCCAATGAGTATCACTAGCACTGTGGTGGTCACTACGGTATGAATACCCTTTAAATGAGTATCACTAGCGTTGTGGTGGTCACCACGGTATAAATACCCTCTCAATGAGTATCACTAGCGTTGTGGTGGTCACTCCGGTATAAATAACCTTTCAATGAGTATCACTAGCACTGTGGTGGTCACCACGGTATAAATACCCTTTCAATGAGTATCACTAGCGTTGTGGTGGTCACTCCGGTATAAAAACCCTTCCAATGAGTATCACTAGCACTGTGGTGGTCACTCCGGTATAAATACCCTTTCAATGAGTATCACTAGCGTTGTGGTGGTCACTCCGGTATAAATATCCTTCCAATGAGTATCACTAGCGCTGTGGTGGTCACTCCGGTATAAATACCCTTCCAATGAGTATCACTAGCGTTGTGGTGGTCACTCCGGTATAAAAACCCTTCCAATGAGTATCACTAGCGCTGTGGTGGTCACTACGGTATTAATACCCTTCCAATGGGTATCACTAGCGTTTTGGTGGTCACTCCGGTATAAATCCCCTACCAATGGGTATCACTAGCGTTTTGGTGGTCACTCCGGCATAAATACCCTACCAATGGGTATCACTAGCGGTGTGGTGGTCACTCCGGTATAAATACCATTTCAATGAATATCACTAGCGTTGTGGTGGTCACTCCGGTATAAATAACCTTTCAATGAGTATCACTAGCACTGTGGTGGTCACTCCGGTATAAATACCATTTCAATGAGTATCACTAGCGTTGTGGTGGTCACTCCAGTATAAAAACCCATTCAATGGGTATCACTAGCGTTTTGGTGGTCACTCCGGTATAAATACCCTACCAATGGGTATCACTAGCGTTGTGGTGGTCACTCCTGTATGAATATCCTTCCAATGAGTATCACTAGCGTTGTGGTGGTCACTACGGTATGAATACCCTTTCAATGAGTATCACTAGCGTTGTGGTGGTCACCACGGTATAAATACCCTTTCAATGAGTATCACTAGCGCTGTGGTGGTCACTCCGGTATAAATACCATTTCAATGAATATCACTAGCGTTGTGGTGGTCACTCCGGTATGAATATCACTAGCACTGTGGTGGTCACTCCGGTATGAATATCACTAGCGCTGTGGTGGTCACTCCGGTATAAAAACCCTTCCAATGAGTATCACTAGCGCTGTGGAGGTCACTCCGGTATAAATACCATTGCAATGAGTATCACTAGCGTTGTGGTGGTCACTCCGGTATAAATACCCTTTCAATGAGTATCACTAGCGGTGTGGTGGTCACTACGGTATGAATACACTCAGAGTGTGGTCATAATAACGTGAATGTCTAAAACTGTGCGTGAACCTGAATAGAAAATGTTCATTACTATATAACTATGTATGATTGTGAATAAATGTGTTGTAATTATCATGTATCCGTGTATACCACATTGGTCTATCAAAACGGAGCCGGGTCGTTTCGCCCAAATTACGTTCGCACATCACGTTCGCACCACTGGTCGTTTCGCCGTAAATACAGTTCTCTTTAGGTTTCAAGTTTCAAGTTTTATTCAAACTTTAGGCCATTGGCCCATCAGTATACAATACATATATACACAAATCATGGACAAAGTACAGAGAATGAAGACAATCTTATTCCATTATGATACCCTTAATTTGTTTGCCTCATAGATAACTGAACGACTTTAAACACATTTTTTTTCCAATAATAGCTTTTGATAAAACGGGATCTGATATTTTGGAGTAAACTCCGAATTTCAATTTTTATTAGTTTGTTCTAAAGAACAGACTAATAAAAAATGAAATTCGTCCTCTACTTCAGGGTGGTGTTACACTGTTTAATATCTACGTTCTCTAGGTATATTATTATACCTTCCAACTTCTACAAATGCGATATTTCATTGGTATATATTTTGTGAGGTAAAATTGTAATGATTCTCCAAAATCTATATGTTTATACAATAAACATTTAGGAGAGTTTTCCACTGTGGCCCTTAGGAATTGTATGCCTTGGTCAAACATTCTTTGTTTTATCATTGGTAATAACAAACTTTCCTGAAAAATACATGGATTTAACCAAACATCACTAAAACCTGGATTGTTTAATTCATCTCTTACTACTATAGCCCAGTTGAAATCATGTTTACTAGGCTACAACATTGTAATAAAAATCTATGGGAAGTGGATAGATTGTTTCGCCCTTATATATTATAAATATTGTTTGTAATGTTATAATGGTTACAATCTAACAGTTTTCATGTTTCACGCACAGCTGTGTTTTATGCAGGGTGTTAGCGACATTGTACGTGCAGGTCACAGGGACCCGAGAATTTGATACAGTTATGTTTAGACCTAGACTAAGATGTTCAGAGTATTTTTACATGTTTTAGGGGTTTAGATCGACTTTCGGTAAATATGACACCCTAGTGGTCATATATTCTCGTATATTAAACCATGGGGTGTCATTTTTGCCGAAAGTCGATTTTAACCCGATTTTTCGGTAAAAATGCCACCCCCAAAAAAGGAAGGGAAGAAAGCTCTCGGTGTCGAAAAATCGACCCCATATAACTTTCACTGCTCATTTCTATTGCAGGAATGAAAATGGATTATTTCTGTCGGAATTAATTCGCGTAATATAGTTCAAGTTATACCTATCTTAGTTTCATTCCACTAATTTTCCCTTAAAAATGCCACCAAAGTACAACATACCTGTGACTACACCGACCACGTGACAAGCGGCAGGTGAGTTATGTTCACAGATATAGTCCACTGGACATGATCGGACCGCGTCATATTGCGTACAGACAGCAGTCAAGATGAACAGGAAAAGGAAGAGAGGGAATGTTTACATAACTCTACGGCCGGGTAATATCAGGTATACACAAGATACAATCGCTAACACCATGCATGTGACCAATTCCAAGGGACACGTGACAAAGATGCCCCTGGGAGAGGTAGCGGACAAAGTACTGAGAGGTGATATCAATATTGAAGCCATTCCCAAAATCAGTGTGTTTTGTTTGCGTAACACCTGGTTTTCTTTAGACAATCGCAGGTTATGGGTGTTCAAGAAACTACAGTGTTTTCTGGATAATTCAAGGGACACACATTTCAGTATTACGTGCCTCGAAAGAGATTGTCAGTGTGTGAACATGTCAAAAATCACCACGTCCAATAATGGGGAGGATGTTGTGGTTCGGAGGGATCCGGGCGGTTCAAAATGGAAACAAATGGAAGCAACCATCACGGACAAGTATCCTCGGAAACTGAACAACCCCACAGGTTTCATACGCACGTTCACTGCCAACAGTAACATGTGTGGGCGGGGTCCTTTACTCAGTCTTCCGTCCAATGCCAATAACTTCCGCCTTGACCCCCTTGTTATCAAGCCCCGCATACATCCCCCGGACCTCTGCGACGCCCCTCCAGCCTACCACCCTCGGCGTCCCCGACTCCTTGGTCACCCTGACTACCTCGACATGTTTCCCCAGTCCCCCGAGGAACCCTACTTTCACGGGGAGGAGTATATCCCGGAGGTATACGACGAGTGGTACTGGCGCCAGGCAGACAAATATTACAGCTACTCCGACGAAAACTTCTCCCGACCCCAACATAACTTTACACATGACTTTAAGTTCCCCAAAAATATTGACATACCAGGCAGGAGAAAAGCCCATGGACGGCGACGTGTGAACTTAGACGAAGAGGAGGATGCATTTGACTGGCTTTACAGGGACTTTTGATCCCCACCTCCCAACATGGACAGTACGACAAAACCGATAGAGATATTGTAGCCGACACTTTTCTATTATTATTTTAAGTAATTGATGATGTATAAATGCAAGGGAAACGATTTCCAGTGTATGACGAGTATACTCGACAACGTTGACATCATTAGACTGTTTATATCCGTCGTTTTAAGAGCTATGGTACAGGTGTAACGCCATACCTATTTTTTTAATCAATAAGATAATTTTACAGTCATATATTTGTTAATGTAAGCATTGTATGTTTTCTAAGAATTGTTTTTACTTTTGCGTAGTGCTGTGTCGATGATTATTATTGTGCTAGTCCGTCGATGAAGGAAAAAACAAACAACCCTGTTCTTAAAATGGGTAATGCAAGTTAATTTAATATTGTTGTTTTAAAGTATTCGTATTTTAATTATTTGGTAACCGTTTTATTGTAGGTAAGCTCTCTATTTTTATTCCAATATCGAATTATAAACAGAGCGATATTATATTATATAGTTATTACGGTGTGTTTTAATGCCTATTAATACTCACGTGCTAGTTAATCGTTATGTTATTGGTGTCGCGTACATATGGTACACGGTCTAGTCTTTGATAGATTTTAGGACAGTTTGGATGAGGCGGTAACAAACCAGGTAGAATGGAATAAAGATTGTTCATTAGAGCTTTTATCATTGTGTATATAAGATACGTGTTTATCCCTGGTATATTTTGAAGACCATGCCCTCTAATGCACTTCTGTAGGGATATGAATGTAAATATGTTGTAGAAATCGTGCAATGCTTTAGATATCGTGTGAAGTTGTAGAGATCGTGTCATGTTGTAAAGATAGTGCCATGCTTTGGAGATCGTGTCATGCTCTAGAGATGTGTCATGGTGTAAAAATCGTGCCATGCTGTGGAAATAGTGTCATAACGTAGAGATTTTGTCATGCTGTAGAAATCATGTCATGTTGTAGAGACCGTATCATGCTGTAGAGAGCGTCATGCTGTGGAGATAATGTCATGTTGTAGAGGTCGTGTGATGTTTTAAAGGTCGTATACTGCTGTAGAAATTGTGTCAGGTAGTAGCGATTATGTCATGCTGTAAAAATCATGACATGCTGAATAGATCGTGTCATGCTAAAGAGAAAGTTTTAGTGTATATATAATGTCACGCTGTAGAGATAGTGTCATGTTGTAGAGACAGTGTCATGTTGTATAGACAGTGTCATTTTGTAAAGATCGTGTCATGTTGAAGAGATCGTGTCATGTTGTAAAGAAAGTGTCATGTTGTAGAGACAGTGTCATGTTGTAGAGATAGTGTCATGTTGTAGAGACAGTGTCATTTTGTAGAGATCGTGTCATGTTGAAGATATCGTGTCATGGTGTAGAGACAGTGTCATGTTGTAGAGACAGTGTCATGTTGTAGAGACAGTGTCATATTGAAGAGACAGTGTAATGTTGTAGAGACAGTGTCATGCTGTAGAGATCGTTTCATGTTGTAGAGACAGTGTCATATTGTAGAGACAGTGTCATGTTGTATAGATCATGCCACGCTGTAGAGATAGTGTCATGTTGTAGAGGAAGTGTCATGTTGTAGAGACAGTGTCATGTTGTATAGATCATACCACGCTGTAGAGACAGTGTCGTGTTGTAGAAGTCGTGTCATGTTGTAGAGACAGTGTCATGTTGTATAGATCATGCCACGCTGTAGATATTATCATGTTGTAGAGGAAGTGTCATGTTGTAGAGACAATGTC